CAATGAAATTAGAAACTGTTAATATATAATGTATATAAATATAAAATAGAAACATTTTACCTGTTTAATTGTGTTTTTTCATCTTTATATAAGTTGAATCACAAGTTATGAATTCCTTCATTTCTGGCTTTTTTTGAGAAATGTATTCGATATTCACCTGTATGAGTCTGCAGCTGTAGTTCATCTCTTTTTATTACATTATATGATTATATTGCAATTTTAGGCAACTGCTAATGAACAGTGTATTGTATTTGAGGCTATCACAAATACTGCTGCTACCAATACTATTAACACAACTCTTAGTACACGTAAGCATGCATTACTCTCAAGGTTATACACATGGTAAGAAATTACTGGGTCACAGGACATGTGAACATCAAAAAAGTTTCCTAAAGTAGCTGCAATAGCATACTTTCCAATCAGCAGTGTACACTGAATTTCCATAACTTATTCTACCCAAAACTAGAACTTTTGTTACTTTTAGCCATTCTAGTTGCTTATGACAGAGTCTCTTTGCGGTTTTAACTTGTGTTCCCCATATTACTAATGAGGTGAAGCACCTTCACATATCTTTTAGATATTTGGATTATTTTATGAAGTACCTTTTCCTGTCTCTTGCAGGTTTCTCAATTGGATTGTCTGTCACACTGATCTGCAGAGCCGCTCTGAATGTTCTGACATGTGCCTTCTGCCCACGTTACGTATTGCTAACATGCTCTTCCACTTTGGTTTGCCTCTCTCTGTTCTCCTAAAAGTGACTTTGCAAGAAAACAATTGCTTAATTTTCAGGGAATCAAGTTCATCACTTGTTTTACTTATATTAGCGGTTTTTATTTCTCTTTAATAACTCTTTGCCTATCAAAAGATTATAAAAATGTTCTCTTTGTATTAGCTTCTAAAATTTTATAATTTTTGCCTTTCACGTTGAGATGCTCAATCAATAGTAAATTGACTTTTGCATATGGTATGGAGCATGGGTCATTTTCTTCTTTATGGATCACCAATTGTTCCCCCATGATTTATTGAATGATATTCTCCCTGATACTCTTATTAAAGTACCAATTTGTCATAAAGCAAGTGTTTGTGGACGTACTGACCTTCTCCCAGGCACTGTATCTCTTCTCTTTATCTCTGGGGCACTATTTCAGGGGAGTAATTACTGGAGATAGCTAAGCATTGAGTGTGGAAAGTCCTCCCGCTTTGATCATCTTTTGCAACACTACCTAAGCTCGAATGAATAAAAATCATATGGTCATATCAATACAGATGGAAAGGAAATATTTGACAAAATCTGGCACCCATTTATGATAAAAACTCTCGGCAACGTGGGAGTAGAGGAAACATACCACAGGTAATCAAGACCATATATGATAAACCCACAGGTAACATCACAATCAACAGGGAAAAACTAAAGATCACACACAAGACAGGAATGTCCATTTTCTTTCTTTTTTTTTTTAAGATTTTATTTATTTATTTTTAGGGAAGGAAGGGAGGGGGGAGAGAGAGAGAGAGAGAGAGAGAAACATCAATGTGCGGTTGCTGGGGGTTATGGCCTGCAACCCAGGAATGTACCCTGGCTGGGAGGAATGTCCATTTTCATCGCTCCTACTCAACACAGTACTGAAAGTCCTAACCACAGCAATCAGACCAGAAGAAACAAAAGTCATCCAAACTAGAAAGGAAGGAGTAAAACTGTCACTATCTGCAGATGACGTGATAGTGTATGTACAGAATTATGAGCTGTTATTGGACCATAAAATTTCCCTTAAAACACAACACAAAAACAGACAAACTAACAAAATTTTAATAATACCAACTGGGCCCTGGCTGGTGTAGCTCAGTGGATTGAGCGCAGGCTGCGAACCAAAGCATCGCAGGTTCGATTCCTAGTCAGGGCAACATGCCTGGGTTGCAGGCCACGGCCCCCAGCAGCCACACATTGATATTTCTCTCTCTCTTTCTCCCTCCCTTTCCTCTCTAAAAATAAATAAATAAAATCTTTTTAAAAAACACCGATTGGGGTTACAGCTGAACCTTAAAAATTTGGGAGCTGGACCACCAACCTCCCTCCAAAATACACACATAACTACCATTGGCCCTCCACTTACACTGGTTCCCAGTCGCCAAGTTCATCCGGAAACAACAGGTCTGACCTGCACGCGTTGGGTGAGCTGCAGTCAGCTAAGCAGCAAGGGCAACTGAACGGTGTCCAACTGAAAAAAATCCACATGAAAGTGGCCCGTGCAATTCACACCCATGATGTCCATGGGTCAACTGCACTTAGAATGGAGAATAATCCTCAAAAGGGCATGGATTCTAACCCTCAGGAAGGCATTACCTCAATGGATGACTAAATTAACTCTACAGTAAAGGCAGCTCTGGACCAATGTTGACAAAGCTTAAAAAGAAGGCTCAGAAGAATTCAGCTGATACCAAGTAATTTATTTTCATCTATACAAAGAGGCAGTTCAGCACTATACAAAAAATACAAATAATTCCTTCGCCCAACATATGAAATCACAATGTGCAGCATACAAACATAAACTAAAGAAATGGAAAAGAGGAAAATGTGGCCCATAATAAGAAAAGTCAATCAATATAAAGAAACCCAGGAAAAATAAAGTTCATGGAGTTAATAGATGAGGGCACTAAAACAATGATTATAAATAAGCCCTATATGCTGGAAAAGGTAAAGGAAAATAGCATGATAGGAGAAAACTGGGAGAAGTAATACTTCTAGAGATGAAAAATAATAATTAGGGGAAAAAGAACAAATAAAGCACTGGGTGGGATTAAGAACAGAGTATATGTTACAGAAGAAAAGACAGGTAAACTTGAAGACATGACCACGCTAACCCTCCAAATAAAGCAGAGAAGACTAGAACTTTTAAAGAATCAAAGCGTTTAAGAGCCAAGAGAGGTAATACCAAAAGTGTAACTAGAATGTCAAAGGAAGGAAGGAAGGAAGGAAGGGAGGGAGGGAGGGAGGGAGGGGCTGGGGCAAGTGGAGCATTTGAGAAATATCGGCCTGCATTTCCAAATTTTGTTGTAAAAAAATTAAAATAAAATCTAAGTAGTATTTTCTCCAAGAAAACCATACTAAGACACACTCTACTCAAATGACTAAAACAATCATTGCAAAAGTCTTAAGAGTCCAAAAAAAATTTACATATGGGGATACCAAATAAGAGCGACACCAGATCTTCTGCCAGAAACTACGCACGCTGTTTCAGAAACTTGATATTTCACAGCATATTACTAGAGATAAAGAGGGACATTTCAAGACAGTGGACCCCATTCATCAAGAAAATATTAGAAAAACTAAGTATGTATGCACCTAATAATAAACCTTCAAAATACAAGAACCAAGAAGTGAAAGGAGAAACAGGCAAATCCATCATAATTCAAGTTGAAGATTTCCATACACCTCAGTCAGCAATTACTGGAATAAATAGAAAATCGGAAGGGATAAATCTTGAAGAACACTATCAGCTAAAGTGACCCTGCCATGAAGAATAAGTTAAGACATTGTCTACAGCCTCAAGTGTAGAGAAGGAAGCATCACAGAGGAGAATTCCCTAACGCTTAAACACGACCCACAACGTCAAAGCTGAAGTTATGCACAGAGCCATTGCCAAGGTTCAGAGAACCTGAAGAGTTCTGAGCCATAGGCAGGAGGATGGCTAAATACCTACGGCTTTGATGCAAATCACTCAGTTTTGAGCAGCTAGTGAACAAAAGGAACTTATGAGAAGTGTAAGTTAGATTTTTTTTTAAAAAGAAAAGTAAACATTCAAAAATTTACACAAGACTAACCAAAGTTTATACTTTAAAATGTGAAGTAAACTTCATTATTCCCATCCTGCCTGTACAGTTGTAAGTTTTGGACTGAAAAATACCTGGCTTCAATTGAAAAAAAAAAAAACAATGCCTTTTCTCCTAGTTCCCCAAACTGAAGGGTATCATAAAATGGGCTGATTTTCAAACTTTAACAGTAAAAATATATAGCCACAAGAAACTGACATTGGAATACAGTATTTTAACAAGGAACTCATTTTGTTAAGTTCATAAAAGTACTTTCTAACATTTAATTATTCAAGTTAAAAATTAGACCTTATGTTAAATAGTTAAAACTATTCTTAAAATAACAAGAACAAAAAAAATATCTTGAGTACTTTCCCCAAGTTTTTTACTGACAAAATCAGGCTTAATCAATGGTATCTAATATTTAAAATGTTAATATTACTTATTATAGCATACCAAAACTATTTTTTACATTACATTTAAATAGTCTAGTGACAGTGTAATTTGTTTCCATTTTTTAAAAAAAGGTAGACTTCAGGTGAGGTTTCTTTCACTCATGAAAACTTCTGAGTATAACTACTTATCTTACTAGCATATTGGAACCATTAACCTAGACCAATTAAGTTTTTGCATCAAAATAGCTTATAGGGCTTTGCAATTATGGGCCTATGATATAAGGCAACAAAGAGTCCACATTTTAAAGCACTGTTTAAATTAGCTTAATTTTTTCACTGACCCTTCCCAGCTTTCAAGAAATAGGGCCAGATTTTTCCACTTTGTCCATCATTTGAAAACCTCTTCCTTAGCTTATGCAATATCCTCAAACCCTCCCTTCCTCCTAATTATTGTTACGTATGAACCACCTAATTTTAGATCTTTTTCTTCTCTTTTAAAAAACAAGGGTAATTGACATGGATGTGTCAAAGTGGAAAGACCTGGTGTTATCTGAGCAGTGGCAGACAAAATACATGAGACATTATCTGTATAATGTCTCATGCACTTCAACTGGATTCTATAAATTGTCCTTAATTCCATCTACATTAATCCCAAAAATAAACTCCAAAATGACTGTCATTCAAACTCACAAGATAGTCTGAATGGATTACATTTAACTCCCAAAGTTAAGTGTTTTGACAAAGCATTTCCACTGTATTTGTTTATTACATATCACAGAAAAATTAAAAGTGTCTTACTAGAAATGATGTTTCAACAAAAAGTGCACTTAGATACGATCCTTGCAGAAAATCCTCCTGTGTTTCTTTTTCACAAAATGCAATTCCCTAATAAAGAGAAAAATATGAAATGGGTTAGTAATTGTTCTTAACTGACATATAATTAAATATACATTTCATTATTATAAATTCCAACAATAACATGATGCCTGGCAGATAGCTCCACAAATCCTTGCTGAATAATATAAAATGTTTCTGAAAGTCAGCTGTTTTTGCCCTGACTGGTGTGGCCCAGTGGATTGAGCACCAGCTTGGGAACTGAAGGGTCACTGGTTTGATTCCCAGTTGGGGCACATGCCTGGGTTGTGGGCCAGGTCCCCCGTAGGGGGTGCATGAGAGGCTAACACACAATGATGTTTCTCTCCCTCTCTCTCTTGTCCCTTCCCCTCTCTCTAAAAATCTCTCCCTCCCTTCCCCCCTCTCTAAAAGTTAAAAAAAAAAAGTCAGTTGTTTTATTTGGTTATAAAAACATAATGTTAGCCAATTGAGCATTTCTAATGTCACTAATCCATTTTTTTAGGGAGTATTACTCAGATGTTCAGTAATGTTCTATGCACTCCAAGAGTCACACATTGGTTTCCTAGGTTCCACTTTCCTACACTCTGTATCGCATGATAATGCTTTCTATTTACTTGGTACATAATGCTTTATATTTACCTGGTACACCTGGACTATTGAATTTATGTTTTGATAAAATTGTTGAAAATGTTTATTGTACTATGTTCTCATTTGGAAAGAAAACTGTCGACAGGGCAGTTTTCATAAATGTTTGTATTCATAGGCAAAGTATATAATTGCAGCTTTATCTATCTTTTAAAGGGAACATAAAATAAAAACAATGACCATAAACTGCCAAAAGTTTATATAAAACTGATCAATGTCAATAACTCACATTAATAAAGGAACACTGGTGAATACTAACCAATAGATTAGTGCATGAAGAATAATCTAGTCCTGCTACTTTTTTGCTTGGAAATAACAGCAAGACATTTAGCAGAAAGGGAAAAAAGATGGTAAAAACCACCCCTCTCCCCACCCCAACCAGCCAGGATCCATTATGATACTAATCCAATAACTTAGAATTGCATGACTGGGTAATTCTGCCAATCCCGCAAGTGAATCTGCTTCATCAAATGAAAATCATCATTTCTCCACAGAAACACTAGTCCTTTGAATCTGAGTCAACAGTACTAATTACTATGATACTGTAATGTTATTTCTGTTTGAAATAACTTTTTCATCTTTCCTACTTCCATATTCCTTTTATATCAACAAATTAAGTTATCAAAAGCTTGAATTTTAAAGTACACATACGCGTACTCAAATAAGCCTTTTTTGCAAGAGTAGAAGGAGCTGGCTTTAAAAAGCCAGTTTCAGCCTTTAACCTAATTGTAAGAAATGCAGAAAGGAAAAACTCCTCAAATACAGTTTTATTACTTACCAACTTCTAAAACCCAGTAATTCAAAGTAACACTATTCTTCAGGGGCCCTCGATCTGCACAAAACTAATTATTTTATCATGGACTTGAGCAACAGCTTTGTGTCACCGCAGGAATTAAAGGTCAGAGGTTCGACCCATGGCAAATAAATGATTAAACACAAATCTGATGGTTACACATTGCAGTGCATATTCTCACATCAAATTCATCCCTAAACTCTGTACATGAACTGTTATTGATAACTTGTGTTTTGTACACAGTGCTCAGTTGCTAAAAGGCAATATTCTAAAAGCCAAGTTTTTGTAGTTCTTTTATAATAACCTACAATGAAACACACTCTGACCTTTGAAAACTACAACTAAAGTGTTAGTGCTGCAGCCAGTTGTAAGCAAATTTCACACACTGAGCCTCCAAATTGTGCTGTTTCCATTCAGGCAAGGGCTAGACATCCTGCACCCCCAACTGCTGTGCCTCCCAAACCAGCCCTGACCAACTCCCTAGCTCCCTCCCCTTCTAATCAACCTGGACCACAAGCTATTGCCTCAACCGTAGAGGCAATCACTCTGTTCAAGTTTCTTCCCCACCAAATGAGGATATGGTAAATCAGTGAAAATTTCTTCATGAGAAAAAAATAAAAAATAAAGCAAGGGAGGGTGACATATCGTCATAGAGAGGAGACTAAACGTGAGAAAAGGTATCAGGAAAGACCTAAGTAATTATAGTAAGAACAGCAGCAGTAACATCTAAGTGTTTATCATCTGCTAATCAGTTTCCTAATTACTTTCCATGTATTAACTGATGTAAAACCAACAATAACCTCACTATTATCCTCAGGAGGAAACTGAAACACTAAGGAACAGCTTGCCAAGGTCACGCAGCTAAGCTAGTGAAGTGGTGAGGCCAGGATGAGAATTCAGGCATGCTTTAACAGCTATGCCTAACCACAGTTCAAGCAATGCTGCTTTTGAATGAATTCAATTAGTGAAAAAACAAATGCACCCTGTAGCAAGGGCTTCCAAGCAGAGCAGAGCAAACCTCAGTCTCAGAGGGCTGACACAGCCAAGCAGCTTCTGATATACACGGACACACACTGCACACCCACACCTGCATGACAGACACCCTGACACATAACAGGCGAGTGCCTGCAGTGGGCAAAAATGGTCGGCACTGATGACTTCTCAATAACCTGTAAGATACATTTTAAATTTCTACGCGACGGTTACCACAAACAAAATTACACAAGATAATAGCACAAAAATCTCATGGTAAAAAAAAATAAACTTTTAAAGAAGGCACTCTGAAACAAATGAGACCTTTGAAGGTATTGTTAGTGGCACAAGTTCCTGTCAATGTCCACCTGGCCATTTTCACAAGGGTTAAATGGAATGACCAAGGTTCAAACTCCTCTCCTCAAACGTTTCAACTAGGCTTTACCAAGCAAACAGACAACACCTAGTACGACTGTTGATGGTAACTGAAGACCTGAATGACCAAAAATAAATAACTGGCTCCCTAATTCCTACCTCCTGGCTACGCCAGCTTGCTATTTAAGTGCCTACCAGTGAGTGCCAATAAGCTAGAAGGCAAAGTGAGACCAAAGTACTGCTGATATGATATTAAGAGTCTAGTTTCAAACTCTAAGGGCCTAAAAACCTAAGCATCTCCTCAAATCATGATAAAAAATAATAAACAAAAAACCCCAACTCAATATATTTATAAAGGAAATTACTGTTGGATGTCAGAAATTATCAGAACTTCACCAAATACCTCTACCTTGAGCATAATGCAGGGCCCCAAGAAACAAGGTTTCTACCTGCAAATAAACAGCTTTAAAGTCAATCCAGGTTAGGACAAAAATGAAACAAGTGAAAAAAATAACATAAACTATAAACACAATAAAAATTGCCTATTTGCTCAAATATGAATTTCAGTTTGTAATCGAAGCTTGGGTTGATGGCAATGGTGTTTTTAATTCAAATGAGGGTCAGCTCTCATGTAGGGGCATCGAACTCATGCCTTAAGAAGATTTTGCTGGCAGCCATGATGGAGTAACTAGTACCAGACATGCTCTCCTCCCAATGAATTTAATTAAAACACGTGTCAGATACATAGAATTATAATTTTAAAACTCTGGACAAGAAGCAGCTCAGTACCATGACGCCTGCAAAAAGGGCAAGTATTCCCTACAGGTAAATGTCTCGGTGCAGGGTGAGGAGGCGGGGCGGGAAGGGGAAGCCAGGCAGGACGTGGGGACTCGGTGAGCGGAGACAGGGAGTGACTGACACTGAGGGAGGCCGAGGTGGTGGGACACTGGGGCAGAGCGGCAGGGACACGGGGCGCAAGAAGGGAAAGTGTGTCTGAAGTCTGCAGAGGCTTCCAGAGAAGTTCTGCCCAGATGTAATAAGGTAAACGTAAAATATAAGACTAATTTTACATTTCCTAGTAACCACATTTGAAAGTAAAATAAAGCAGGCAGAAGCAATTTTAACATAATTCATTTAACCCAAGATGCTCAAAACACTATCGTTTCAGGATATACCTGACTGAAACTCAGTGTGTTTTACACTTACAGCATACTTAGATTTGAAGTAGCCAAAATTCAAGCTCTCAGCAGCAATATGCGGCTAACTGCCATCGTACTTGACAATGAAGTTTCTCATTGAATGCGATGGCGTGCGTGAATCAAGTGAGACTCCACAAGGCCACGCAAAGAACGATGATCAGGAAGCAGCGGGCTGGAAACTCCCAGGGACTGCATAAGCCTGAGGGGCGCCCAAGTCCTGGCCAGCGGGGAGAGCGATCCCCCAGACACCCTGGGGCAGCCAGGGGCGGCTGAAGCAGAGTTGTCACTTGCACTGCTTCTGGAGTAAAGGCTACACGAGACCTGCCAGAATAAAGTTTAAAAACAAGCCTTGAAGGGCTCAAAATGATCTACAAGAAATGTAACAGCCTGCCAAAGCAGAATTTAAATCTCTCCTGAGGAAATCAACAAAATTCAGACAATGGTGTGAGGAATGCCCAAGAGTCGATCAGAACTTACTAAACATAAGAAAATGGAGAAATGTGTAATCCTTGCCAGGAGAAAAATCTGAAAAAGAAACAGACCCAGAAATAGAGAAATGACATCTTTAAAGACATATAAAGTTTAAAATATTATAAACATATTAAAGTATTAAAGAAAAGCAGGAATAAAAGAATTATTTTTTAAAGAATCAAATGGATTTCTAAAGATGTAAAAGGTAGTACCTTGAAAACTAACTAGTCAGACTCAGCAACAGATTAAACAGAACAGGAAAAAGATTCCTAAATTGAAGATGCAAAAAAAAACAAAAAAAAAAAACAAAGAAGAGCATTGAGGACCTGTGAGAATATCAAGGGCAATCTAAAAATGGTGTAAAACTGGAGCCCCAGAAGAGTGGGAAGACAAGAAATGTCTGAAGAAATAAGAGCCCAAGCAGTTCCCAACTTGAGGAAAGCTGAACCCATGTATTCAAGAAACTCAATGGACAAAAACAACTTAAGCACAAAGAAACAGCACCAAGGCGTATCATAATCAAACCTCAGAAATCCAGTAATAAAGAGAAAACCTAAAAGCAGCCCAAGTTGCAG